TAAGGCAGATGGCATAAGCGGGATAAACAAACAAAAAGGTTAGAAAAAAAAGATCACAAAATTACAGATAAATCGTCAATAGGAGGGTGACTGATAAAAAAAATCACAATATTCTTTCTTAGAATACACAAGACAAAAAGAATATAGAAAAAAATAAATAAAAACGGCAAAGTACTTGTACAAAATTAATATTTATTGTGTTGCAAAAAATGATTAAAACCAGTGGACAGTGGGTGCTTGGGCACTGAAGTAGAAAGTTGTCATTCTATAAAATTATATGGCAGATAATATGCTTATAAACATAAATATACTTTCTATGAAAAGATATTGTGAACAAAGGTGGTGGAATTATTGTTGGAATGAGTATACCTACGTTAGATGGGTGTGGTATCACTAGATATTCGAATATTTAATAACTGTGCAATTATAAGCAATAATTATAAATAATAATATTTAAACAATATGTAGGCTGGCCAGTATAACACTATACAATTTTATCGAATCTGTCAATGATTTAAAAACACTTTCGTACCATCTAGTCTGATTAAATCTTTAACGTCACGATTATACACTTATTCCCACTCCATATTTCATACCCAAAATATAATTGCATCTCCAAACTTAAGTCAAACTATCCTATAGTGCCAGTCTCTTCAAAAGCGTACGTAGTAGTAAATGCCAGTGTATGCTTCTTCAGAAGGTTCATCAAATGTAGGTTTTTTTGACAGATATTGTTCAAGCATCAAAAGTATACTAAAAATAGCGTAAGAAATACCCCTAAAGAATTGCATATCCTTTAACTGTATTATTTTTTACATTTTCCATTTCCAAAAATCGCAATTTAACATGCAATCTTATGAAAAAATCACTCAAAACTGCATTTACAGGATCTGTGTAAGCCTCCCAATTTTTGTTTGCATGAAAGATTACATTTAGATGAATCAGTTTCGTTTTCAAATANTATAACGACTTATACGGCATAAGAGCTTATTTTTGTAATAATAATAAGTATATATACGTCTCTAAATGTTCATACACATTCATAGATTTAATAATCTTACAGTTACCCAGTATAAAACTGAGAGAACTCTAACGAGGAAAAGTACATGTTTTTAACCAACCTCGCTCCCGCTTTGGTCTGTAGTCTGCCAACGAAACGTCAGTTTTTAATAATAATACAAAAAAGAAGAGGTCCAGTATGCGTAAAATCGTGTGTGCGTGCGAGTGCAACCTCAAACAATCTTATAAAACGCTCATCTTACAACATCAATTCGCAGTGGTACATCCAAGAATGAGAATACTCAAGAATTTCAAAATTCTTTACTGCGTAGGTCCACAAGAAACATTATACACAATTTCGACGGCAACTTGTACTTTATGTAAACTCCGAGAGATCAGCAGTTTTAGCCATCAATTACTGGGAAATTATTTCACCACAACTGTGCTCATGTCAGTCGAGGGTAATTAGGTAAAGCTCTGATTGGTCGTTCGAATCCCCAACTTGACGCGTCCTCCTTAAACGAAAGAGCATAAAAACTCCTTTATTTTCGACTTTTATCTTTCAACAAGTGCTCCAAAGTAACCAGAAAGGTTGGAAAGTGAGTTCTGTTGCGTCTTTTAAGCGAATGTAAGACTAAGTTCGGTGACTAAACTGTGTGAGAAAAGTTCAAGCAAACCAAGGAACTGTAAACTTGCCTAAAAGTGAATCAAGGAGAAACAAGAAAGAAGAGACCGTCAACTTGGGTTGAAACGTTAAAAACAGAAGTCTAATTATTGTCATCGCCTAGAATGCTCTCGTGTAGGATTAGGAACATCGTTGCGGTCAACCTTGTAAGATCTTGCGATTGCGTGAGCGCAAGCAGCAGCTAACCAACGATCATAGAAGTGAGTTAAGTTAAGGAAACCATGAATTGTATTACATTGTAAATGCGAATCTGAAACTTTGTTTATTCATACTATTTGTAAAATTAACTATTTCTGCCTTTTCTAAATTTATTAAATCATCAGATAAGACATAACTTGGTTATTAATTAAATTAATATTCTTTATTCAAAAACGTTTTAATTGCTATATGAAACATTTTAAGATCTAATAATTCTAATTGATTGACACATAGTTCTTACCTTCATGAATAAATTGAATATCGAGGAAAAATAAAATAGACACTGAATGTCAAAAACCTTTACAAGGACGTGATATAAAACGACGAACAAGATACGTTACTACCGTATGATATAAGATATAAACTCTAACAGTAAGTCAACGCCAGCTCACACCACTCCATATATATCACTCGATGAAACCTAACACCACAACGCCGAGCCAACGATTTTAAAAAAAAGCTTACTGTAAGTAAAAGCTTATAAGGCTTTTGGGCCGATAGCTGGTTCCGGACGAACAAAAAGTAAATTTTGTTATTTGTAGAACGAATCTACGAGTTTCGCCTTTCACTTATAGAAGTTCGGACGTAACATATGCAAGCTCATCCATATGAGAAAAATAGTTTCCAGCATTACTGCATATATTTACGCTCTTCTCACCTCATTAAACGTTGAACTGAATTTTTTCCCTACAAACTATGTGATAAACGTCGTGAAGTCACAAAATCACCTGAACTACAAAGGAAAATTCGTGAAAGAAGAAAACGCAATAAAAATTAATTATTGTATTTATAAACATTTTTTTTTAATTTTTTAAGATTTTGAAAAAATTTGAGAAAAGCTTGAAGATTCCTCTCTGGAGTGCTAAACTTCGAGCTGTAGCTTGCTCACTCTTGACACTGTTTAATTTATTAACCACTAAAATGTAGTACTGCTGTTTTTAAGGTAAGCGCTATGAGTGTGCTACCTCGCGCAGAGTATGTTGGTTTTGATTCGCACAGTATAAAAGTAGAGCTTAGTTAAGTCAAAATCAGTACTCTATATCTTGAAAGCTTCAGAGCTCTAATGGTCCAAGTAAATACAAGCTTTTATCAGCTAAAATTTTTTCTGTGCAGTGGCAGAGTATAGGAAAAAATTTAAAGAAAGAGAGGATTTAGATGAGGGATACTTTTTAAGCCTGTCACTCATTATTTTTAAAATTTTTATTCAAAATATCTAATAAGAAATAAGGGAGGAAAAGTTACATAATTTAAAAAAAAATTAAATCCAAAACTGGCAAAAATATTAGAAAAAGAAGAATATAATTTAAGAAAAGCGATAAGCAAGGTGGAAAATAAAAATAAATGATGTGGTTTTTTTATTGACAAAAAATGTAATGAATATACATACAAACAAAATTGTGAAAATGACTGAGGTGGAATAGATATTTTAGAGTTTTATGTGTATAACAAAACATTTATATTTAAATAATGGTTGATATACATTTCTACGAAAACAATAATTAAAAAAAGAAAGAACAACATTAGGATGAGGGAGTCAAGCTGAAGCAGAAAATAAAGATTTTTTTGATAAAGAATAAAGAAGATGTAATGGTATAACGAAAAATATGAAACACATTCTTATTCTCCAGATAGTAAGGAAAAAAAGGAATGATTGAATGAAAGAAGTAAACGTAAAATAGATAAATAAACAAGAAGAAATAAGATAAGAATGAAGTGGCAATACCTAAATTTTTTAGTAGTACCTTGAAGCATATCTAATAAAGGTCCTTTGTAAATACAGAATAAAGTTTATAAAATTGTCATGATCGAAAGCTAACGAGAAGCTTACTAAACAAAAATGACTAAAATAAATGTAGTGCCAAAATTAAGACAAACAGTAGAGTTGATTTTTGAAAGAAGTTTGATTTTTAAGTACAGCAATACACGGCTACTACAAAAATTTAAATAATAGGGAACTTTAAGTTTGACCTGGTCGTATTCTAGTCATTAATATTAGAGAATAATAGAAGTAACTAGAATTCTTTTCAGTAAATGTAGTTCCTAAAATTTTAACTTCAAATTTTAAAAAACGATGTGGTAGTCAGGTAAAAATTACAAACTAAATACGAAGCTTTGGTAAGTAAGTCTCTATACATTTTTAGTGATTTAAAATTGTTTTACGCCACACTTTGTGTATTTCTAGTTGGTAAGTACTTTAATTTTAGAGTATTGTTATTGAATCGATGAAAATTGGGAATAAACATTGTGACGTTGGTTTGAGCCTTGGGTAGGATTGTAACTTTTTACTATTAATAAAATCATCCTTTATATTTTGAGATTCAAAAAGATTCTTTGTGCTGTAAGGTTGTTTGTTATTGAAGTAATCATTTTTAACAGTCACATAATAATATACAAGTGCTTTTTAGTTTTTTTGTTCATTGTTATATTTCATTTCTCTTTTGTAACCGACAAAATAAGAGTTCTTGACGTATAGAGCGGATCAGTACTCACAAAGATTTTTATTGTTTTGCTACACTTCGGAGAAAAATACTTACTTACTAAAAAATTGAACTAAGTCTGTTTGATTTTGAAGGTTTGGATCGGGTTTAGCTTGATACCAACTAAATCCTAACAATTTTTTTTTAAATTGTAGTAATAAGCAAACAGATTGAGCGTAATGAGTCTTAAAGTGAGTTCTTTTCAATTTATATAACGACTTATACGGCATAAGAGCTTATTTTTGTAATAATAATAAGTATATATACGTCTCTAAATGTTCATACACATTCATAGATTTAATAATCTTACAGTTACCCAGTATAAAACTGAGAGAACTCTAACGAGGAAAAGTACATGTTTTTAACCAACCTCGCTCCCGCTTTGGTCTGTAGTCTGCCAACGAAACGTCAGACATAATTTTTGTTAGTAAACGCAAATGATTTGTTCAAGGTTATTATTATTTAATACATATTATACATTTTCAGAAATAAACCTTATTGATTCTATTAATAAATTATCATATAGACGCAGAAAAAAACTTTACACGTATAATTAATGTGTGAATCTTTCAAGTATGGTTAGTAGTTATCAAGAAAGAGATACAAGTTTTAAAAATAAGAAATGATAATTTATTGCTTACCGAACTGGTTTTATAGAAAATGTAGAAGCGTTTTCTTTCAGTATAAAAAAAGCAGTTTGAATGCAATTAAGTTCATCTTCAATACTTAATTCACCAGAATCTAATAATTTGATGATTTTACTTATAATATTTTGGTAAACATCCAAATTTAAATTACTCGATAGCCTGAAATGTTAAAAAATTATAAATAAAATTATGTTGTCACAATTATTTAAAAACTGACGACGTGCAGTAATAAAAATTGTTATGATATGAGAAAAAATTTATTTTCGCATAATGAATTAAAATTTCTCTCTACTATTTTTTAAATATTTAAAATTAGGGAAGGCCAATCCTTACATCTTAAAATATTTTGACAGACACTAGAATTGTGAAACCTTTAGTACGCACAATCACATGGAGATGTTTATGCTCGATAACGAATCAATGCGATGAATGTAGGACAAACGAGCGATAGCAAGCAAGTCTTATAAGTTAAGTGTACATGCATACATACTTGTAGAGCAAGTGGAGCACGATAATATTCATGATTTTTTTTTCGCAGTATAATTGGAGATATAATATTTCATGTAGTCACAGTTATTGTAACAGGTAGTTTTGTTGTCAAGTTCCCAAAAATTGTACAAATAGGAATTTAACCCTCATCCATTAAGTCCGTCAAGTTTGGCTGCAAGCAATGCTAACCACTAGGCTATCAGGAATTCTTATGTTTACTTTTACCTTATCACTCATCATTTTTCTGCTGATTTACCTTTTTCCCATTGTATAGGAGTCTTTCGTGCGGGTCTATTGGGCAAAGTTTTTCTCAAACGACTCAAAAATTGAGCTAATAGGGTACTATTGGCGGGTCACAGCTATCGTTCTATGAACACCTCAACTGTTATCAGGTTCAATAAAAAGATCTTTTCAATAAATCATTTACCTTACCCTCGCTGATTTCTTCATACTGATAGTGACTTCATCACCAAGCTGGGTAGGTGATATCTCCTCAAAAAAGAATGCACTAGTAATCTACATATCACCAAAAAAATTCACTGATCGTCTTAAAAATCAGAATAATGGTTTTTTGGCCTATTCAATACTTAACTAATCAAAAGAGCTTGAGAAATAATTTTAATTTTTTTCACAGAAAAACTTATGGCTTAAGTTTCCTTAATTTTTCTTTGCTGTGACTTTGATTTTTCTATAAAAAGGATTTTTATCGCAATCATTTGTCCTCGTTATATTTGCATAATTATTTTAATATCTGTTTGTGTGCCTATACATTTCATGTTTTCCCTCGTTTTTTTTTTTTTTATTACTGAACCTTAATACTAATCTCTTACACTATTTTTTTTGGCCTTGCTTTTATGGTTTTCAACACATGTGTGTAGATTTTTGAATTACTACTTTTATGTCTTTTTAACTCTGTCCTATTTTATAATGTATAATTTTTATTACTGTGCACGTTATAAGATCTTTATTGTTTTTCTGACACTTAATATATAGACATTAAGTAGACCATATAGTAACAAATACCGCAGTTAACATGAATTACTTAAAACAATTATAGCTCAGTGCATGAGAGTCTACAATGATCAAATTTTTTGGTAGTTCACTAAAAAAAATTGTGCATTAAATTTTAGTCAGATCTTGTAGTAAATTGCTATTTTAGTTGTTCTTATACGAATAGTAAGTTAAAATGAAAAGATACTTTATATGTAAGTTACTAACAGTTTTGTAATTAAGCTTTTTTTTGAACCTACAAAGCTTCAAAAGCGACTCATTTTGACTTTTTTGAAATTTTTTGTCGAAGGCAAGTAATTATAAGGCCTTATTTTCTTTTACGTACAGTACTTTTTCTTTTTAAATCCTTTGATTTAGCACTGTGGTATCATATTTTTATAAATTAATGTGTGCATAACAGTGTTAGTATATATAACAGCGTACTAATGGCTGACCAATCAATTCTATAATGCCATTTAAAATAGGCATCTTAATTATAAAAAAGCATTCAAGATTATAAAAAAGTTTGATGAAATGTATCTAAAGAAATCGACGGTACTGTAGGTAACATGTCGTAACAAATTGAAAAGAAACACATTGAAAGATTACCAAGAATCATCAGTATTTATTCGTTAATTTCAAAAATAAGTAAACGAGTTAAAAGCTGCTGGTGCTAAATTTAGTGCAAAAGAAGAGTCGAACTATTTATTGAGAACATTATCAAAATCGTACAGTTATATTGGTGATTTAATGGACACTTTTAAAGAAAAAGATCAAACAGTTAGTTACGTAATTGATAAAATAATAAAAATGATGAAGGCAGAAGCTTGAACGGACAACAAGGCAGAGGTCACTTATCGCTACAAAAAACGTGGAAATTAGGCTACACCTCAAATGGTGCCATCACAGCAAAAGTTGTCAAGTTTACTGCAATGCACAGTGAACACACAAGGTAAATGTATAGACCAGCTTTCAGATAGCGGTTAAACTGATTATGTTGTCAATCGAGATGAAATTTTTGTTAAATGCATCGAATTTAAAAATCATGTAAATGTAATTATACGAGGTAATAAAAGTTTGAAAGCAACAAATGTAGGGCACGTTTCGAGTTATTTTAAAGTTTTTGATAAATTTGTTAGAATTAATATGTCAAATGTATTTAATGTTAAATGTATGACAGCAAATGTAATTAATATCGCAAATTAATATTAAAATAAGTTATAGATATTGATGTTATTGATCGATGGGTAAGTATTATGTCAAATTATTATACATTGACCTCTTTCCATCTAAATTGCGCTATGTATATTTTTTATAGAAACGTCGCGCTTATTTTTAGAGTGAAAATCGCTGGAGTGTGAAAAACTTTGTCAATTAAAAATTACAAAGCAGTGAAAAAAGTTATCCGCTTCGGCCAGGAGTCGAACTTGGGCCTTTTTCTTGCCGGAAAGGTGCGTTAACCAACTTTGCCTTAGCGCGACGTTTCTATAAAAAATATACATAGCGCAATTTAGATGGAAATAGGTCAATGTATAATAATTTTACTTAAAATAAATTAGTTATTCAGAATGATATGGCTAAGATTTATAATAGTGATGGGCCAAAAACTTGACACAATTTTCATAACATAAACCCATTTATAAAATTTTATATAATTTCACCACACTGTTTAGTGAAAACACAATGTTTTTTAGACTAATATTATAAGTTTGTTTTTCTCTTAAGAACAGTTGTAAAAAAATTTCAGGTCAAAATCTTGAACGGAAAAATTCTAAAAACAACTTAGTGAAATTCCGTCCTACCGAGCACTGACCCTAAGCTCTTGTTGCTGTTATTTGTTAATATTTTTACTTATGACTTTTAAAATAGTCTGATGTTGCGGGAGACTTTAAACACATATCTATTTGAAAAACATGAACTTTTTTTCGGGTACTGGTTCATTGAGCATTAGTTTTTATCTATAAGTTATCTCAGAAATACCGATGTAAGATTTTAAATGCATTGCAATGGACTTTCATTTGACTTCTACTCTCGGTATTCCTGTAAATATGTTCACAAATATTCATTAAGAAAGTTAATCAGAGTTAACGGGGAGAAGTAAGGGAAGAGTTTATAAGAACGTGGCAACGTTGCAGGTTACTGCCACGTGCTTTGCTTGTACGATACACACATGTTTATCGTACATGCAGAAATACTTTAAAATTATTCAACGTTATAAAACTCACAAAAGCAATCGTACTGTTTGTAAAAATAACTCGTAAATCTGTATAAAAAGGGAAAGTAATATTGATCGGACGGTAGTAAATCACAAAAAAAAGTTTTATCAATTCTGCAAATAGTTTTTCTGTAAAAGAAATTTTATTCCATTCCATCGTAAGGTTCAATATTATTTAGTTTGTATTATGAACACTCTGTCAGATTAGAAGAAATTTGACGTATTACATGGGCTGCTTATGAGTAGAAAGATCTTTACGTCATATATTATCAAATACTAAGTATAAAAAATTCTGCAAAAAACTATTTAAGAAGTATTTGAAAATTAACTAATCTATTTCTAAAGTGTACTAATCATATTTGTAAGAATACAGCTACATAAAGTAAATTTTTCAATACTTTTTTTTTTAAATCAAAGGGTAAAAAATAAAAATATGTATAGTGGAACACATCAGACATAACTGGAATATGTATTAAAATTTCATCATAAGTAATCTATATTATGAGAATGTTAAGAACCAATTTGGCTGTTATTATTTGGCGTCTAAAGATTGCGTTTATGGAACTCATGTTGAAATCAAAAGTTTTGTTGATATTTTTAACATACATGTGACAGTAAAAACAGCTAGTCAAGATAAACTTATTAATTTCGATAAACTTGAAAGTGATTTGAAACTAAATTTGTTTTTTAGTGTTCCATTTGACTTGGGCCATTATGATGTATTTGATTAAAGGACTATGATGTTAAAAATAAATTTAAAAAATTTACTGCAAAATTTCACACAGTCTAAAAAGGGAATATGTATACACGTCTAGTTTTAAAGTATCACAAAAAAATTGAAAACGGAGTATGGTCGTAATACAAACAGTGAAGATTAAGGTCAGACACGTTAATGTTTCAAGAAAAATGGATTTTGAATGTTCTTTTTTATTTGACTTCTTTTGGAAAGTAAAAAAAATAAAACTGTTACCAAAACAAAAAGATATGTTTACCTTTACTAACAGAATAAAATGTAAATTTAAAAAACTTATTGATGCACAATGATGAAAACTTTAGACATTTGATATGATTTTGTTTTTTGTCAATTTGTTTTGTTTTGCTACATTTAATGCAAATGTTATCCAGAAAAGAAAATTATTTACAACTTGAAAACTCAAGTTCAAGTATGTCACCCAGACCCAGCACGGCATCCCTTATACTCCCATGCAGATATGTTTCGGTGACCACTACGATAGTTTCGGTACAAGCAGCCTAACATTATTCCGGAATGCAGAGAGCTTAGTGCGCATTTACGTTTTGATAATTAATTGTCAGAAGACTTAGTTTTTTTAAGAGCCTTGTTCAACTGAGGCTTGAGAATTTTCCTTGTTATTTTAAAGGTCTATAGTGTGAAGTGTAAGTACACCCTTAACCAGTTTTACTGTCTTCTTTTTATCGGTATATTATTAAACATTTTAGCTTCTTA